AAAAAAAAAAAGAAAACTTGTTTTTATGAATGGTACTAATTTCTTAAAGGCTGCCAAATTTCATAGGAACAATATTTGAAGCAAATAAAAACACGCATTCCGATTTGACCAAACGAAAGTATTGCAGTCAGAAAATTCTTTTTAAATACAACAGAATATGAATCATAACTTACAATCACTTTTGATCAAGTGATACGTAACTTAGCTAAAGTTTATTTTGCATGTTTTAATTTCATATCTACATGAAAAACTAGTGTCGAGACAGAATCAAGGGGGAAAAAGCGAGACTTCATCTACTTCAAAAAAAATTTGAAGTACGATTGAAGTACAGTGAAGTACGAGTGAAGTACGGTGAAGTACGAGTGAAGTACGGTGAAGTACGCGTGAAGTATAGTGAAGTACAGCTGAAGTACAAGTGAAGTACAAGTGAAGTACAAGTGAAGTACGGTGAAGTACGTGAAGTATGAAGTCTCGCTTTTTCCCCCTTGGACAGAATACATTTTGATTAAAGATTCACTGTACGGTGAACATATGTTTCATGTAAAGTTTCAAAATTCGATCTTTCGGGAAAATTTGTAAAGAGTTAAAGACGATTAAATGTCTTCAAATATAATTGCAAGTGATTCAGCATGTAAATATATACCTTAAGTTTTGAAAATGCAACATCTTTAATATTTTATTCAGAAGTCTATATCAACATAAAATAAAGAATTTAATAAATCTTAGTTTTAAATTATTTTTATTCATGACTTTAAATTATATGACTAAATAAACTTAATCTAAGTGACATATTTGAATTTCCAATTCGAGAGAGAAAAGAATGAAAAATCTTTTGTTTGAAATAATCTCATCTTCTATGAACATATCATTACAATATTTTATTTTTCTCATTTGAAGTTTGTTAATCTAAATGTTAACGATAATGTTTCTTGTCTTTCAAAGTTCTTTGTACTTTAATCACTTTATAGACGGGGCAAATATATTTCATGATTAAAAACATAATAAAAACATCAAGTTCTAGTCAATATCTAGGAAAAAAATATACCTTCAAGATCTATAAATGTTAATATAAAAAACAAAAATTTGCAGTAATCTAAAGCAAATACAATAATTATCAATAAGCTATAAATGTCAACAGAACAAGACAGATTTACGTTTTATTATATTCGAAAGAAAGATGTTGTTACCTTTAATATTTATATTTTTTATTAATACTGTTTCAAATGCTCAACAAATAGAATTTTGGTTAACAGATCCTGATGCAAATATTCTTTTTCAACAACAACCATTCATTTCACCTAATAATGATAATCAAATTAACGATATTATTATTAATATCAATGAAAATGAAACATATCAAACAATTGATGGATTTGGTTATACATTAACTGGAGGTAGTGCAATGCATTTGCATAATCTTGATAACACAACACGTGCTCAAATTCTACAAGAATTATTTAATACAGATAAGAATAATATAGGTGTTAGTTATCTTCGTCTTAGTATTGGTGCATCTGATTTAGATGAAGTTGTTTTCTCATATAATGATTTACCTCCAAATGAAATTGATTTAAATATGACTCATTTTGATTTAGGACATGATCGATTACATATTATTCCTATTTTAAAAGAAATTTTATCTATTAATCCTAATATAAAACTTATGGGATCACCATGGTCACCACCTATATGGATGAAAACAAATAAAAATAGTATTGGAGGAAGTTTAGTATCTGAATATTATGATGCTTATGCACTTTATTTTGTTCGTTATATTCAAGAAATGAAAAAAGAAGGTATTATTATTGATGCTATTACAATTCAAAATGAACCATTACATCCAGGAAATAATCCATCATTATTAATGTTAGATATGTTTCAAGCTCTATTTATTAAACAAAGTTTAGGTCCAGCATTTCGAAAATATTCAATTAATACAAAAATTATTATCTATGATCATAATGCTGATCGTCCTGATTATCCAATAACAATATTAAAAGATTCTGATGCAAGACAATATATTGATGGATCAGCATTTCATTTATATGGTGGAACTATTAATGCTCTATCATTTGTACATGATCGATTTCCAGATAAAAATTTATATTTTACTGAACAATGGGTTGGTGCACCAGGAAATTTAAAAGGTGATTTAGTTTGGCATGTAAAAACTCTTATTGTTGGTGCAACTCGAAATTGGGCTCGAACTGTTTTAGAATGGAATTTAGCGGCTGATCAAAATTTAAAACCACATACACCTGGTGGATGTACATTATGTTTAGGTGCATTAACAATTGATAACAATGAAGTTTTATCACCGCGAAATCCTGCTTATTATATTATTGCACATGCAGCTAAATTTGTTCGTCCAAATTCGATAAGAATTGAATCAAATGTTGTATCAGGCCTTCCAAATGTTGCATTTCAAAGACAAGATGATAAAAGAAAAGTATTAGTTGTTGTTAATGAAAATAATTCTGGTAAACAGACGTTTCAAATACAATGTAATGGTAAAGTTTATAATACATCATTGAATGGAGGTAGTGTTGGCACTTATATTTGTTAAAAAAAAATTTATTTGTGTCTTTGATTATATGTAATTTCTTTTTTTTGCAAAAAAATAAAATAATAGATATTAACTCGTCATAGAAGGAATGTACTAGTTTTACAAATCATGTTAATACAAAATAAAGTTGTGAAATAAATGATATGGATTGATCAACACAGATTTTAACGGAATTTTATCTCTCAATGGTATGCTTGCTTTTCCATCAACGTTTAGATAATTGATAGAAATATGCAATGAACTTTATTCACGAGTTTCTTGTTAACTACGTACAGGCATAAACAGTAGTTATATACAAAATTTATTTGTTGCTAAGGATGATACCATTTCTTTCATCTCTCTTTCTCAATCATCTTGCTAGTATATATCTTTATGCATGTGCGTGATCAACAAGCAATTTGTGAATAAGGGTCATTGATGTTTCACTTTCCAAAAAGAAAGTTGCTTCATTTCTTAATCAACATATGTTTTAATAAATATTGATATCTTGTTAAACATCCAATTTTAATAATATATATTTTTAACAATCATACTGAAGTTTGATCTTTTTTTATGCCCATAAATAGATGTCTTATGCGTAGTCTGTATTATTCATGTAATTTCGAAATTCTTTGCAAGCGCATGACATACAACGCAAAAAAAAAATGGAAGAAAATTTGCGTCGTCTTTTTCCTATGTAATTATGTAAGACTTGAAATTGCTCAACTCATCTGCAAGTCTTTATCAGTAAGTATATAAAGAGTGAGCTTATGTAAAATTGTTTTATTGGTGAATTTAACGTTTTTTTATTGTTTTCGTTTCTTATATTGGACATGACGTCCCTTGATTTCAACTTTGCTGAACCCATCGCCTCGTATGATGACTCAACTGATGCAAATATGAATACGAGTCCTCAAGATATTGGCTCTATTCAAAAGTCAGATTTTGTCGTGCTCAACGGGCGTCCATTAAAAGTCGTTGAAATAACACATTCTAAACCAGGAAAACATGGTCATGCAAAGGTTTTTAAACAATTTATTTATTTTCTTTACTTCAATTGATTTTATTTTTATTCAGGTTCATTTGGTTGGCATTGATATATTTACAGGTCGTCGTTATGAAGATGTTCGTCCAGGAGGACATATGATTCAAGTGCCAATAGTTGGTAAAAAGGATTATCTTATTGTAAATATTGATTCGGATGGCTACGTTACGTTACTTAATGAAGGTACATGCAATATACGTAGTGATATAAAATTAAATAACGATGCGGACGTAACCCGTCGATTGCTCGACAAGTACCATGAAGGCGACGGTCAGATCAAGGTTACCGTTCTCAAAGCACTTGGCGAAGAGCAAATTATGGCATTCAAAATGATAGATTAGAATATTTGAATGCATGGCTTTTTTTTTCTTGTGTTCATAGAACACATATTTTGAAAAAAGAAAAGAAGATTTAAATAAAATCAGAAAAATTTTTCAAAAATAATATTTTGTTTTTATTTGATAATTAATATTCCTTGCATACCGATTGACTTGATCTTATACTGATGAATAAGGTTGAATTTAACTTAAAAAAAAAACGAAATGATGGAATTAGTAGACAGATACAATTCACAATATGAGAAATATATCTCATATAATTAAACTTTTTTGCAATGTAATATACAGTGCTTGTAAAAAGTTCTGAGACACTTGATAACAGTTTTTCAATACTTTATGTTTAAGTTGACTTTAAATATAAGCATATATTTGGCATTATTATGGGAAAAGCTTTCATATTTAATTGCACAGACAAATCATTATCATTTGATACTAGCAAAATAGTATCAAATATCCAGCAACAAAAAGTCCTGAAGCATTTTTCGTTCTATTCGTCCATTAATTTTTCTTCAATTGCAAATAATATCAATGAAAAGAGTTTCAAACAAACTGACTATTGTAGATATGTTTTCATTTTAGAGATTATAACAGGTAGATGTTTTCTATAACGAAATTTTTCGCTAGAAAATGCTAGTGATCAAAAGGAAACTATTGAAAAACTACTGTGAAAGAGAAACAAAATCATATCTTATTTTGCTCTTCTTGAATAGAAATCTAAAATTTTGAAATACTATAACTATTTTTACGTGAAACAAGGCAATAAGATAGATTTTTCTTTTTCACTTTTATCCAGCGCATTTATTTGATATTTTAAAGGGCCTCAAAAGTGTCTTGTTTTGTCAAGTTTATTTTACTCTTCAAGATAAGTAAAATAAGATATGAGTTCTTCTCTTTCACTGTAGTTTTTCAGCAGCTTCGTTTTGGTCATTAAGATTTTCTAACGAAAAGTCTCGTAATGGAAAACATCTACCTGCTATAATCTCTAATACGAAAACATGTCTACAATGTCTATGTCGTCTCTTTTTTTGTCACAACTGCGTCGCAATTGGATCATAATCGAAAACATAGGATAGTCAGTTTGTTTTAAGCTCTTTCAATTGAAACTATTTGCAATTAAAAAAATTTAATGGATGAATAGAATGAACGATGTTCCGGAACTTTTTTCTAGGGCTGTACTATTTTTTGTTTTTGCCAGTGCAAACAGCGTTAATATAATTAAATAGTAATACGATTTTCTTGTAATTATATTAGTGCTTTTTGCACCGAAAAAGAATGCATAACATTATTTATTAATTGTGACTTATGTTAATCATAAATATATGTTCAAATTGACTCATTCATCGTTAAATTTTAATAAATTACATGTTTATTTATTTAAATATGAGGTGTTAATTAAACCACATTAAATAATTCAATCAATGTTGGTCATTTAACACATAGCCTTCGGTTGTTTTAAATTATCGTGATTAAGCGATGTTTTGTACAATGTTTACTAGATGACCATCATGCTCATGATTAATACACAGCCATTTGCCACGTTACAGGCAGATAGACACAGATGAATTCTCTTTCAGTCTAGTGAAAAGCAAAGATATATCAAAGTTATATGTTTTACATTCAAATCATTCAAAAAGAAATAAATTTCTTTTGTGTGCTACGATAATTATTTGATTCGCCACAGAAACTTAAGAAAACAGAACATTGTATTTCCGAATTAAATAACATGTCGTTAATATCGGAAATTCTATTATTCTCTCAATTACTACTCTTTCCTTTTGAATAATTTTCAATAATAATTTGTGTAAACTAACATTATATAAATTCTGTTGGGAAAAATCTGTATCCCTACTACATAACTAATTTCTGTATAATGAGATAAGAATGAATAACAATGCGAACAGGAAATTAAAATATTGAAATGAACAATACAGAAATTATAACAATCATAGCAAAAGTTCGAATATCTTTATAGAGTCTCATTTTAACATGTTTAGGGATGTCAAATGAACGATAGTATTAAAATTAATCCCAATGCAAAATCATATGGGCTAAGTTTAACAAGAATGCGTAAACATTAGAATTAATATTAACTAATGCTAATACTAAAATCAATATATTTCATAGAATTTTTGTTAAAATATTTAAAAAAAAATCAGAATTTAATTTATATATTTTATTAAAACAAAAAAAAAAAGATTTATTAAGTTGTATTAATTAATGTAAAAATTACATTTGAAAATAAAACAAATATATTATATTAACGATGAAGACTGCTGCGATTTGCAACAGTATGTTCTATTTTTATTAATTTTTTTTCATTTTTTATCACAGCATCAACAAGAATAGTAGTAAATTTATGCGTGCGATTTAACAAATTAGAACAATAACAAATTTCACGAAATTCAGGTCTTTTATATGCAATACAAGCTGATGTTTTTCCATATTTATTCATTCGACTTAAACGTTTTTTTCGTATATAAAATGTATCATTTAATGGATTATATTCAGCAGTTAATTCAAATAATGCATGACCAGGAATAGTTTCAAATTGTATTTGATAAAATTTTGTTTGATTTAATGTTAAATTTTTAATTAAATTATTTATTAATGTATTATTACGAAAACGTGGTATACGACCATCTGTATCACTTGAATCAACAAATTTTAATAAATTTTCATTTGTTTCTAATTGATTTGCTTTATATATACGATATAAATTTAATTTAGTACATTGATTTTTTGAATTTGATACAAAATTATTAAGAAATTCAACAGCTTGTTGACCAAATTGTTTTATAATTGGTTCATCAATTGATATATAATTCCAATTTAAACATGCACACCAATGTTGTTCAACATCAGCTTGTAAACATGTACGATTTTCAGGTATTAATTGAAAAAGACTATATGAACGATGAGTTTTTGATTGATAGGGATCTGATGAATGAAATTCAAATAAATGTTCGAATGTTTCATGTAAATCAAATGGTGTTGTTAAACGATGAGAATTTAAACGTAAATTATACATTAAATGTGGATATTTATCTTGAAATTTTTTTGGCATACGTATTGACATAAATGGTAAACGTTCTTCTAATTTACCTTGATAAGTTTTTCTTAATGATGAAAAACGAGCACCATGATCAGTCATTAAAATAAATATTGTATTATCAAAATAACCACGTTGATTCATTAATTTTAAAAATTCAACTAATTCATCATCAGCATATGGTAAACCATTATTTGAATCATGTGAATATTGTGAATGAAAAAGAAATGAAAATTTTGGTTGACTTGGATACATTTCAAATAGATCACGTATCCAATTTAACATAGCTTGAAAACGTGTTATTGAACCAAAACAATATGGTTTAGATGTACGCATTGATTCAGCTACAAGATAAAATGGACGACCATAATGATCAACAGGTGGTTCACGAAAACCTTTTAAACGCATTTGAAATGTACCAACAACTTGTAAATCTTCAGCCCATTGAGTTATATAACCATTATCTAGAGATAAAAAACTTGGAGTTTTGATACAGAAACAAAAGAAATCTCATAAGTATATCAAATTATATTTAATGTAAAGCTTTTCTTTTTGGAATAAATATAAATAGATGAAGATACCTTTTCTCATAAGTTAATTTAATCAAAACAAAATTTTGATCAAAATTAAAGTTTAGATAAATATTTACCTTTAAATTTCTTCCAAATCCAAGGAAATCGGTCAACTGTCTCGGCACCAGCATGTCCACGTCGAGCTTCAGGTAATTCTTGTTCTGTTTGTCCAGTTAATATCGGTAAAAGTGCTGCTGGTGTACCATCACCAACAATATTATAACCTATACATGATACAAAAATACCCCAATAATTTATTAATCTATATATATATATATATATATATTTTCTTTTTCTTTTAACTTATACCTTTCAAAACGACACTACCTAATTCTTTAATTAAATAGGAAAAAGTTTTTGGTAAAAAACGCATAAATGTCATTCGAGATACAGAGTCAAAACCAAACATTAAAACATTATAACCAAGATGAGTTTTGACCATAGGATTCCAAATATGTCTTAAAAAAAGAAATTTTTTTAATAATTTTCTATATTTAATGAAAATAATCAATAACCTCATATGTAAACCAGCATCAAACATAATGCCTGAATGTATATTTGAATAAAAACTTCCATCACGTGCACGACAATCAGCACGAAAAAAATCTGATACTAAAGGCATTTTATCAACAACAGGAAATAAACGAGCACCTTCCATTGTTGTAAAATCATCTTTTGATCGAAGAATAGGACGATAAGCACATACAATGGGTCCATGTTTTTGTAAAGCTTGTTGTGATAATCGAAAAGTACCTAAAGAAAATATCAATGATGATATATTCTTAATTATTTATTGTGTACTAACCATTATCAACATAAACCCAATTTGTAGATTTTTCACAATCTGGTTGAGATTTTGTTACTGGATCTAAATATTTCCATATTTCGGGATTATCAATTGTTAATTTTGGATAACGACATGCAAGATTTGTTATATTAAAATAATCTTCATGTAATAATTGTATATTTTTAGTTGGTTTTATTCGTGCATCTTCAAGATCTTTTTCATCAATAATAAATAATTTAAATCTTTCATTTCGTTGTTCAGATAAAATATTTAAATAAAAATTATATGAACATATAGCTGTTGAACTTATAGCAAATAATATTAATAAATAAATAGCTGCACGACCTAAACAACAACGTCGAAATCGACGACGTATTTGCATTGTCATTTTATTTATTTGTTTTATATATATATATATCTAACTAAAATATTTGTTTTCTTTTTTCTACGACGATATTTCCAATAATATTCTATCACATTGTTCATTAGATTTGATTACGCGCGTCTCGTCGTGCTTATAGAAGAACTAAAAGGGAAAAAGATATATATACATCAAATAAAACAATTTTGATTTTTGAAATATAAAAGAATACATTCTTCAAATTTCTTCTATGTAACATACACTCACATAATGTTCTTTTTTTTGTGATATAGATAATATGTGTTTGAACTTCTATGAAATTATACATTATACAGGCACTAATATAATCTTAAATTTGTCAATTTAAAAAACAATAGTTATATTAATGAATTTATTAATATTCATAATTACTTTTATAGAAAGAAAAACATGCTTATTGTTGTATGTTAATGTCTCAAACACATAAAATAGTTCTCTTATTTTTATTCAACAATATGTGAACTTACTCAACCTTACTATTCAACTAATGAATGGATCCTTTCAAGTGCACTCATATAGATTATCTCTATTATAAATTTGTTTAATTAATATATTCTTCAGTTTTCTTTTATAGTCATTAAAAAGTAAAAAAAAGATAGTTTTGTTCTAAGATTTCTAATTACATATAAGTAAATATATGTATACTTACCCAAAAGATGTTATAACTATATGTCTATCTCTTTCTATTTCCTCTTGCTGTGGTGTTTCTGTTATTGTTAATATTATTGCTCTTTTATAGCCAGTAGAATTCACCAAGAGAAAGAAGAAGTGCCAACATTGCAGCGTTCTGATAAACAAGAAGTATTGTCGAACGGTTACGGCCGTCATCGCATCGTCTTTGCTACATAGAGAAACGACGGCGAATCAATACAAGCATATGAGATAGTCTCTCATCATCATCATTCAGCTTGCGCATCTTTCATAGCACTATCGTTGCCTTAATGCATGTGTGCCTATGTGTTTCTCCTGGTCGCGTAACGGCGGTACTAATTGCGTTGGTTGTTCTATTCCGCGTTCTGTTTTATTCTATTCTGCTTCTTATCTGATGATGTTGCCGTCGTTATTGTCGGTCGTCTTCTTATTTCTCCTCCTTTTTTTTTCCTTTCTTTTGATTTTCTTTCTTGGGTGAGTCCCATGTCGATGTTAGCCGTGTAGAATAGACAAGTTCCATTCATCCTTTCTTAAATTCACTCTTTATTCTTTTGGATTATACGATTTATTGTCATGAATTGTTTAAATGTTAGATAATAGTAAAAGAGTGTAAAGGAATCAAAAAAAGAAACTATACTTATGGTTCAAATGGCAATTTCTTTAGTCTGACATGCCTAACCAGAAAGATTTTTTTTTACTAATAATATTTTTAGTCAATATGTATATGTTATGATGATTGAAGTCTAATGACAAAAAAAACAATGAACGGAAAATAATCAATATAGGCAATGCGAACGATGCACAATTGCAATTGTCGAAGATTACCCATTCCGTTCCATTAGTCTTTGCTTGAAAAATGATTGAAAAAAATTACAGTTCGTCGATTTGATTTTCTGAGCGTAAACGTCACCATATTTCCGGTTGACTTATCGACATTGACATACGTTTTTAAAAGAACAGAGAAATCTCGACGAACTGAAGAAAAAAAAGATTAACTATTTCTCGTTTTCATCATTATTCATCAGGCAGAAAAAAAAACATTCTTTTTCCATTCGACCGTATTTCAAAAAAAACTCTTCGAACATTTCATTATCTTGTGCTTTTCCTTTGTAATCAATTTATTATTATTATTATTACATGTCTATGATAAAACTAACTAATAGAAAGAATTTCATAATGAAAGATTCAAAACAAAAATATGTCAAAAAGCAATATAAATTGATTGTGATTTGTCTTTTTGAATAAATCTAATTAATTCTAAGGAAATTTTTAGTTTTTTGATTTTAATTAAAATCAACAGGATAATTTCAATACATAAATCTTTTTTATTATTATTCTTTTCCTTTTATAAAGTAACTAATATTTGTCGGTATGAGAATTATGTGATAATTTAATTCCTAGTGATTGAATGAATTATTTATCTATTTCGATATATGTTTAATATTACCGATATTTTTTTTTTAATATAATTAATAAATATTGAATGATGAATATGCCCTATCAAATTTATTATTCTGACATGAAAAAAAAATGTCAAAAACGGTACCCGATATAAAGAAATAGGATGAAAGAAACGGAAATTTCATCATCTACAATCGAAAAAAACATAATGAAATCAACTTAATTATTCTGCGTTTTGAATTGTTGATACATTCGATAGTAATAATTTTATTATCAAAATCATATCAACAAAAATAAAGTTTTTATGTTATATATAGACTTGACAAGGATGCTCGATTATGAAAATAAAATAATCATACAAAAAAAAAAAGAAAAAGCAAACTTAGATGTTATATTTCTATTTATTTGGAATAGAGTAACGTTTGTATATACCCATAGAACGATAGATGAATATTCGTCAGGCGTGAAACATTCGTATATAATTGTATAACCTATAGAGCAGATGTTTATCACTGCATCAACAATGATGCATGATTTATTATAATATACACACGCTAGAATCCTGCTAAGTCAAACCTTTTGACTAGTTGTGTTCCTTGTTAATGAGAATATCTCTGTGATGCTCTTTTATTTTTCTTGGAACTTATTTAAAGAAAACTTAGATAACTGCACGATATTAATCATATATTTACTTTCTAATACAATATATTTCAAACTCTTAAGAACATTTCATTGATGTTGTATCATTATTGTTATAGAGAAACTCACTTTTTTTGTCTCTGTATTAGAATTCATCAACATTAATCACAAGGAATTATTTGAACAATGAAAAATAATTCATCTTCAAATTATATATATGTATGTAAAGAAATTCCTTATGGAATATATTCATAAAACAGAGATAAAATTCAATACATATTCACTAATAGAAAAAATTCTTCAGATAGCTATTGAATAAATTATTTGTCGAATTGATTAAATCCACTGAATTCTTTATACATAAAAAAAAATGGAGAAATTTTTCAGATGAACTATTTTTTTCTATTCGTGATGTTTCAAAATATAATATATGTACATTTGAACATAATTTAAAATTAATTTCTACATAATGAATCTAATATTTTGTATTTCAGATATTTTCTTTTTCAAGTGAATTTTTTTAATTGTAATAGAAAAATAAAAGGAATATTTTGATAAATAATTATATTCATTGAAAATCTTTGCATATAAATATTGGAAACAAAATTGAAATTCTAGTTTTAACAAGACAAAATTAAAATTCGACTAGAAATAAATTGATACAGTCACATGTTTTAGTAAAAGTAGAGTCGCATGAATAAAAAGTGGAAATTTTACCTAAGCAGACAAACTTTTGAGAAAACGTGTTTAAACGCACAGAAATTGGCCCAAAATCAGCAAAAAGTGGACGTTGTTGACACACTTGAGGTTTCAGACCGTGAGCCAAAAACGCCCATTTTTCGTTCTTTTTATGCATTTAAACGGGTTTTTTGTCTGGAAACGCGTTTAAACGCATAAAAAGGACGAAGAATGGGCGTTTTTGCTGATTTTAGGTAAATTTCTGTGCGTTTAAATGCGTTTTTTCAAAAGTTTGTCTGCCTGGGTAGTAATAACGATTGTCTTGATAAACAGTATTAAATATATCTGTGTGGGTTACAATCTAACAAAAAAAAATATCTGAATTGGATTCACCATTCGGTCACATATGCGATTATACAGGCAAGTGCACTACAAACCAATGTTCACTTCAGAGATCGAATCAGGCTTTTGCTGCTTCGATTCGAATAGCTCTAGTTCCCTCTAATCACGAGTAGATGAAAGTATAAAACTTCATTTTCGGACGATTATAATATCACATTAGAGTTGATATTGGTGTAAATTATTACTGTTTAATGCATTTGCGAATTAAAATAAAATTTTTAAAATTGACGCATAAGTATCATCAGTTTCTTTTATTGTTAGTGCATAGTCTCATATCGTTACAGAGCAAGCAAACATATACTTAATGAAATTGATCGGATTTTAGAAGTAGAAAGACACCAAGCGAACCCTGGAATCACTTGATTCATTTATCTTTGAATGATCTTTTTTTTATGTTGTTGTTTATCAAAGAAACTAAGCAGTATACTTTTTCATATAAAGTAAAAGTTTGAAAACTATACTATACAAGTACGAAAAATTGTACCTGTGCAGGATAGTATATTACACTTCTGCAAAGTCGATTATAGTTCAATCAATTATTTTATATTTAAGATTTGACGGCGTTCGATTACTTTTTTTGAAAATCAGTTTGGGTTCGATTCATTTTTTAAAAAATGGCAGTTTTGTTGTTCTACAAAATGTCATTGCAAGTGAGGTGGTTGTACAGATACTATTGTATGATAAAATGAAAACTTAGTCCATTGAATGAATATTTTTACTATTCTTTTTCAATCGAATTAATTTTCTTTCTTGAAAATAATCAAATAGTCATTATTCGATATGACCCAATAAGATTTCTTTAATACGATTAATTTTATATACTCCTATGTCATTTTCTTTTTGTGTTTAATATATATGTACTTTTTGTTTGTTATATTTGTCATGATATTTTTTTTATTATATAATTCTTTTTATATTCGTATATCATGAATCAAAATCAAAAGCTATCATTTTATATTTCATTGTTTTTTATTGATGAGCCAACTAACGAGAAAAACCATGATTTCTTATTATATTTACAAAACAAAAAGATTGTGTTTTAATCGATCGTTGAATAAATATAATTTATAAATCAGAAGAGAATTCTTTGATTCAATGTTGCTACTACTTTAAATTGTCGAAGAACTATAAAAGAATTAGTATTCTATGTTTGTAAACTACTAACATAAAATGTTTAAAATATCGGGACAATTTTTACTTATGTTTCTTAATAAATAATTTTTGAAAAAAAAATCAATTCTATAAAAATTGATTTTTATAGTCTCTGACATATTCAATCAATACAATAATTGAAAATATTAGTGATGTTATTATAGAATTGTCAACAACAACTAATACTGCTAGATCATCATTAATAACTATTAGCTTATCATCATCTAAAACTTTTCTAGTACTATTACTAAAATAATATCTGTTACCTACCTCTATTTTTTACATTTCAACAACAAGATTCTCGTACATCATCTAACCTTATAATAAAATATGACCAAACTATAAACAATTATTTCATTACTGTTGATTTTCTATTATTCATTTTTCCCATTGATTAAATTTCTATACAGGTATATTTAAAAATACTTCATGCGGTAAAAGATTGACATATAGCAGAAAACAAAAAGAAGAAAAAAAATATTATATATATATAATATTAGAGAGCCAAACAAACATATATATCTAAACAAACTCTACTTGCTACATTTAAATATGTCTCGATTATTATATAAAAAAAGATAATTTAACAAAACAGTAAAAACTATAACTCTAGATCAAAGATATAAAACAAATAAATAAATAACAGACAAAACTTGTGTAATCTTCGATCAAATGACAATTAATAAACGCTTCTAAAAACAAACAAAAGAAGAAGACAGAGAACTTCATTGAATTCATTAACAACAAAAACAAAAATATATATGTATATATATATATATCATACTTACAATAGACGACATGTTGGTGTACTACCTTCATAAACACAAGTTGTACCTGATGGACAATCCAATGGACACCAACGATAATTTTTTGGCATTATCAATTGTTCACAAAGTACACCAGTTCGATCATTTTTACAAATACATTTATAACCATCTTTTGTCGTTATACATTGACCATATTGACCACATGGACTTGGATTACATGTACGAGGTCGATTAACTAAATTTTTCAAAATAAAAAAAAAACATGCACATACAGAAACATATTTCACACTAAACGAATAATTCATTTACTTAATTCACAATGTTCACCAAAATATGGTTTAGGACAATCACATCGAGGTTCAGTGTCATTAACATAACATTTGCCACCATTCAAACATTTCATATTTGCACAAACTATATTGCTTAATGATCGTTTACGTGCTAATATTTATAATAATTATTAAAAAAAAAGAAAGAAAAATAACAATAAAAATATATAACTTACGATATTCACAATAATAACCAGTAAAAGCTGATTGACAATAACATTGAGCATTATTTTGAGCAACACTACACCCGCCATTATTTTGACATGGATTTGGAAGACCTAAACCGAGAGAACAATGAAAAGAAAATAAACAATTATAAATACAAACATGGATTATATGTTGCAGCAGTTACTGTTGGACATGGACACATTATACAAGGGCAAGTTGGTTGAGGAGGTCGAGTAGGTAAAGTTATTTCACAATTACTACCCGAATAAGGATATACACATTGACATAGGTAAGCATTTGTTGTAGCAATACATGTACCACCATTATAACTAAAAACAATATGAATTTCTTTTTTTTTGTTTTGTTAAAAATTTTATATTACCATGGATTTGGTTGACAATAATTACGTAATTCACAACAACGACCATAATAACTTGGTGTACATGAACAAACAAATGCTTAAAAAAACAGCAAATTAAACATATTTAAAAATAAAATCATCATACTTTTTTTATTTTCAATTTACCTGTAGAACTTGTTGCTGAGCAAGTACCCCCATTCAAACACGGTTGAGAACTACATGGATTCGGTGCTGCTGTAGTTACAAGTAAAAGTTCACAACAACGTCCTGTATATTGTGCTGGACATTGACATTGAAAACTATTCCCATATGGTAAACAGACACCACCGTATAAGCATGGATTTGGATCACATACGCGTTGATCACATTGAACACCAATAAAACCAATTAGACAAACACATCGATATGTCAAAGGTGCAACTACTTGGCATGTGCCTCCATTTTGGCAAGGTCTATTATAACATGGATTGCTAACAGCTAAATTTGTTTCACAACATGTTCCACTATAACTAGTAGGACATACACAAGCAAAACCAGTTTGAGTAAGATAACAACTACCACCATTTTGACTGTATGAAAATTTTAATATATATATATGTATATGTTAATAATAATTCAATAAATAATTTCTTACCAAGGATTTGGTAAACATTGATTTCGTATTGCAAGAGCTTAAATATAAAAAGAAATATCATAAGATTAATTTGTTTTAAATCAAATAAAATTTTAATTAAAATCAATTATAATTATTATCGACAATAATCATGAAAACTAAATTATTTAATGAGGGAACTGTTCGAAGTGATTCAGAGCTTTTGAATTGATGCTTTGCTCATAAGTAGGATCCGATAAGACTAGAAAAGCCTAAAAAGATAAGAACCCATAGGTCTTTCTTCTCGAGTTAAGACTAACAGAATTGCGATCTGAAATTTTGTCCACATGCAGATCTTATAATCCATATAATAGTCTAAAAGTCTCAGACAAAACGAATGCTACTTTCACGAAATATTAAACTTCTACGAAATGTCGATTTTTTTTGTGTCTGTAACATGGAAGGATTTTAATGAAACCTCAATATTTTGCGAAACTATAAGAGCCATAAGATCTGTATGTAGGTAAAAGTTCAGATCGAAATTCTGTAATTTGATGTTTTTTTGGTAATTCTTTTGTCATGTGTGATAAACTCACGAGGGAAGTACCCGAAGTGATTCACTGCTTTTGAGCTCATATTTCGAGCATATAAAGGGGACCTCTAGACTAGAATAATCCTAAAAGGATTCGAGTCCATAGGCCTTCTCTACCGAGTTATAGCCATTATACTTCAGTTTTAACCTATGGCACGGTATGTACAAACAAATCAACTGGCGATATTTCTATTTGAAATTTTGTCTACAGATAGATCTATTTGTAATTAGAATGCTCCGAAAATCTCAGCTCAAAAGAATGTTTCCTTTGCAAGATATTGAATTTTCAAAAATCACTCAGATCCCATAAAAGATGCGAGAATCTCATGTTTAATCGACATTCAATATCTTGCAAAGGAAATATTCTTTTGAGCTGATACTTTCAGGGAATTCTAATTACAAGTAGATCTATCTGTGGACAAAATTTCAAATCGAAATACCGCTAGTCGATTTGTTTGTACATACTGCACCATAGGCTAAAATTCAAGTAAAATGGTTATAACTCTGTAGAGAAGGCCTATGAGCCCGAATCCTTTCAGGATTATTCTAGCCCAGAGGTCTCCTCTATACGCCCAAAATATGAGCTCAAAAGCAATGAATCACTTCGAGTACTTCCCTCGTCAGTGAAACAGTCGTAACTTGAAAAGAAAGACCCACGAGCTATTATCGTTTAAGACTTTTACTAATCTCATCAGGTCTTACTTATGAGCAAAATATTAGCTCAAAAACTCTGAATCACTTCGAGCAGTTCCCTCGTAAGATCAACTTTTATTACCTGTATTTGTTTGGCAATTACTTCCACCAAAACTGCTGGAACATTGACATTGATATCCAATTAATGTTGATACACATACACCTGCATTTAAACAAGGATTAGCTGTACCACAGCCTGTAGTTCCTGGACTAACAAATACTAGTCAATAAAAAAAAAAAAAATGAATAATATAAGAAATATTTCTATGTTATTCCTCATGATGAACTACCTGGTGATCCACACTCGGGGCCTGTATAGCCTGGTGGACAGGTACAATAGTAACCGCCGCCAACAGGTGTGGGGGTACAGGTTCCTCCATTTAGACAACGATTTGGTTGACATTGTTGACCAGGTAAGATACCAGTGGCTGTTGTTGTTGTGGTGGGGATGGGAGTGGTGTCTAAATTTTTTAGAAAAATTTAAAGATCATGTCGCGCTCTATATTTACATATTAACATTACCTGGACTGTCACAGAACTCTCCAGTCCAGCCAACTATACAATTGCACATAGCAGTAATGGGGCCGGGAGGATCGAAACATGTGCCACCATTGTCACAGGTTAGGGTATTACAATCTTGTTGCCTTGTGCTGATAGCAGATTCTTTTTAAAAAATATGAAATTTAATAAACAGATCCTTGTGTGTATTTTCAAGTCTTACGTGCTACTTGACATCGAACACCGATATAACCAGGTTGACAACGACAAGTAATTGATTGTCCAACAAGAACACATATTCCATCATTGTAGCAGAATGATGAACACCCAAATCGTCTTGATGTAACAGAAATATCAACATATGATGAGAGAGATTTTTGCATAGGTGCTTCAAGAACATCTAAATCGGCTTCAATTGTTGGATAATCATCGTCTTCATCTAGTGTATCATTTGAACTTATTGTTACTTCTATTAAATGAAATAAATTTTTTTTATTTTTTTATTTTTTTATTATTAAATTTAAATAATTAAAGTAAAACTTGCCAACTCGATTTACTGAATTATTACAATCAGTTACTAATTCCTTAGCAACACATGTTTGTAATTCAGGTACATAAGCTGTACCAGATGCACATGTGAATACAACTCTTAAATTATAAAAACAACGAATAAATCGTTGACAATTTGAACGATCGCCAGCAAAATCATGACATTGTGGTCCTTTTATTTATGAATGAATATATTTTATTGAACAAAAAAAAAAAACAATCAAACTTACGTTTTGATAATCCATTCGTATTTGTAATTCTTATTATAAGACAAACAAGAACAATTAAAAGTCGAGTAGATTCGACTTTCATTTTATATTTTATAATATATATATATATATAATGTTCTTATTTTTTAAAATGATCCAACACCGGGGACAGTGAAATAATTATATTGTGATACTTATCAATTGTTAAAAAGACTAAGAATGAGACGATAACATTTTTTGTGAGGATTTTGTTCACTATTTAAATTCATTCCCTATAAGAGAATGTAGGTAGATCGACATTTCAATGTACGCTCTTTGTCTCTTCTTTTTTTTTCGCACGACAAATGTCGTCTTGTTCTAAACACCCTTCAACATTAAACCGTCATCACTATTCTTCTTTTTCTCATTGTACATGTGCATATACTTGTTTCATAAATAATTATACAATGTACAATGTTAAATTTAAGAGGTTCTTATCAATGCTAAATACATGAATCACAAGGTTATATATAAACTTGATATTAAAAAATAAGAAATGTTTTTTTTTTCAACTGTTTTCTTCACCTTGAATGTCTTTATATATGAGACAGATTTATTTGTCATAATCTCTTTGCACATTGCTCAAATTTAAATATATATCCTTCTTCTATCTATCATCTAGTTCATGGTCAATGTACCTTAAGACTTTTCTATATTTTTTTTTGTATTTATTTCTTGCAAATATCAATAGATTTTGTTTGCATACAAAAAAAGGTCGTAACAACGTATATTCGAAAAAAGAAAAGCAAACTGAAAGATAATTAGAAATTATTATTAACTCCAAATATCGAGGAGATAACGTCGAGATGTCTCCAATGATTTCATGTATTCATCAATATTTGTTATATCTAAACAAAAAAAAAAAAAATTGATCCACATTTTGCTTTCAGTAGAGAAAGGATTAATACAAACCAGAATTTTCTTTCAATATATGAGCTATTGTTTCTCGAACATCACGAACCATTGTTTTAATATCACCACATACATATATAATAGCATTTCGATTGTATATTAAATTTGCTAATTCATGTCCATTTGCTTTAATCTGATCTTGAACATAACGAAACTAAAAAATACAGAAGGATAATTTTTTTATTACAATTTATTTAGATATTCAATAGAAAGAAAGATTCAAACAGATAAATCATAAAGAATAATACTACTTTTATTTTGTTTAGAAAAATTTCTTAATTAATTCTTTATAAAATAATGCATTTGTAATAGTGGTTGTATATTAAGAAATTTTTAACATAATGAAAAGTTATAATCCACTAATAATCTTTTGATATGTAAGTTACATCATAAATTGTCGAATAATGAAATCATAATACAAGATATTCTCTGAGAAGACTGATTTTCTACAACGTCCAAGCATGATTTAGATCTAGAGGAGTTTGTGAAAGATTAAAATTACTTGAAGAAAGAAGAATAAATCAAATTTACAATGGACTTCTTCTTCGAATAAATAGAAAACGAGTTATTTTGTTATTTGAAGAAAAAAAAAATACAGTGCTAATAAAAAAAAATTCTTCCTGTTTTGTTTTTACTACTGACTTGAACTGTGAATCGTCATTAATCGAAGAACTATAAAATGAAATGAATCGAAAAATACATGAGAAAAAAGCGCTTTTATTTTTTTTTCGTATTTCCATTTGTTATCATGTATATTAAAATTGTATATAAACTTTATATTGCTGAGAAGTACCACGCATTTAATAAGTGTAAATCTTAACGAATATTTAAACTTACAGGATAATCTTCTTCTCTTGATGCTGCAACAAATAAATGTTTAAGTACATTGATTTGTTGATACATTTGAATTTGCTCTCTAAAAACAAACCATACGATAAATAGAAAGAAGACAAAAAGAAAAAAAAAAGAAATGACAATACTCAAAAAGAAAATCATGTTGTCGATGACGACATCCATAGAAAAGCCAAGTATGTAAATTATTCACATCAAAACCAGCAATTGATTTCGAAGAAAGATATCTAAAAATTAAGAATTCATATTCATTCAATTGAATAAAAAAAAAAACATAACATACAAATGTTCAAGAAATCCAATAAATGGTGCTACACCTGTTCCTGGTCCAATCATAATTAATGGAGTATCAAGAGTTAATGGTAATCGAAAATGTTGACTAATTCTTGTTTGTATTAAAATCTATATTCACACAATAAATCTTATAAAAAAACAAAAACTAAAAATAAATAATTAACCTTCGTTCCAATTGTTATTTTATTTAACCAATTCGTACAAACACCAAATCGTTCATATGTTCGACCATTTAAAGCATCAAATTTCAATACACTATAAACAAATTTGATAGATCGAACATCATCTAATGGTGAACTAAATTGAATAAATTATTAACAAGAAAAAAAAAAAACAAAAGAATTCAAACCTGCATATGGAATAAAATCGAGGTATTAATGGTGGTAAAAATTCTAAAGAAAATATTTATATAAAAATAATTAATTAAATAATTATTCAAACCAATTAACATAGCAATATCTGGTTTACAACTTGGAAAATGATTTAGAATATCAAGAATTGATAAATGTTCTTCAAGAATATATTTTATGTAAATATCTGAACCTTCTCTACTACATAATTCTTCAAGACGACGTTTTTCATCTTCATCAGTTGTACAATCAACAAATAATCTTAATAAATTCTATTGAATAAAATTAATATAATTATAAAGATTATATATAATTTTTTTTTTTCGTCTTACTTTTCTTGGTGATGATCGAATATCAATACAATTTGTTAATGCATAACGTAATGAACACATTGATGGTATATATGTTGGTATTTTAGCTGATTTTTTTGTATTATCTGGTGAAATACAAATATCTAATTGATGAGATGCTCTATCCATCCATTCTAAACTAAAGATATATTTTCTAATTAATATAAAAAAAGAATAAGAATAATATATAGAATTACCGTTTTAAAAGAAGATTAACCTCATTTTCATCATTTGCACAAACAATTTTAATTGCATCTCCTACTTCAAATAGAAATTCTTCTTCCTAGAGAAAATTAAATTTTTTAATGATAATTATTCAGATTATAAACAAACCGAAGGTTCTAATTCAATGGACATCACAGGTTTTATTGCTGTATCATGTGTTAAACATTCTCGACGAATTAATGTTGAAACATGATAATGTGGGTCAGTCGGTAAGTGATCTTTAACCTTTAAACAAAATAAATCAAGACATATGTATAGTGGCTGCCAAAATTATTCAATCAAATTTATTTTCAATTTTCATCCACTACCGTTACTGCTAATAAGAATTCAAATAGTGATTCGTGTAGAGCATTTTTGATTTTCGAAGATGAAAATGATTGCTAGTTTTTCAAGGATAGAGTCTCTAAATAACCAAAAAAACCAAGTTTTTCAGCTCCTAGAATTTACACATAGAACTCTATTTGAATTACGCTAAATGATAGAGGAAACGATTCTCTACAAAATAAAATGTCTTCTAGCATTCTACACCGTTTTTTGACCGAGATATATTAATCTTACGGAAGGCATAATAAAGATATTTTCATACGAAATAATAGAAAAAAAACAACTTTTATGCCTTTCGTAAGATTAATGCATCTAGGTCAAAAAAACCGCATAGAAAGCTGAAAGACGTTTGACTTTGTAGAGAATCGTTTCTTTTATCATTTAGCGCAATTCAAATGGAGTTCTATGCGTAAATTCTAGGAGCTGAAAAACTTCGTTTTCGGTTGTTCAGAAATCCTATCCTTGGAAAACTAGCAGTCATTTTCATCTTCGAAAATAAAATTCTTATTAGTAGTTACAGCAGTAGAAAAAAACTGAAAATAAACATGGATGAATAATTTGCAGTTTTTTTTTCCGCTGCTGTGAGCACTAGAAAAATTTCAAATTGTAATTCGAGTAGAGAAAATTATTTCCAATAGGAAGACAAGGAAATAAAAGTTATTATCTGGTTTCCAAAGATAAGAATCCTAGAAAATCAAAAGACTAATTTTTCAGCACCTCGCACGAGTAAATATAATTTTGTTTAGACTATATAGAAAGATAGAGCAAATAAGTTTCTACAAAATGAGATGTCTCCGAGATCTGAGCATCGTTTATTTTTAGCTGAAATATAATAATCTTACGGAAACTTCTATAATCGATTTTTGATATTCAATCAAATTGCTGTATCTCAGTTTAAAAAAACCGATGCAGAGAATTGTTTACTCTATCGTTTTATGTAGTCTAAATATTTGACTTTCTGGAGTCTCTATTTTTCTTTCTAACGCTTATGGCAGCAGAACAAAAAATTGAGATTAAACCTTGTTGAATAATTTTTGTATCCACTATATATATATATATTGATTTATTATGAAAACTAAAAATTACTTCAGATGATTCGATGAGTTTTATTGATAATGAATGTGTAGATTTAGGTGGTAATGTTAATGTAGTCATTTCAGATAAATTTGATGAATAAGTAATATTATCTTGATTTGATTTAAATTTATTAGATGATGATAATTGTCGATTTACTGTTGGTTTAATTTCTTGTGTTAAGTTAAGTTGATTTATGGATTCGGTTAGATTATTTATTGATGTTTCAGTAGAAGTGTTCAATTTTGTTAAAGTTTCTTTTAAAGCAGGCCAAAAACCTTGAAGCCAAGGTTCAATTGTTAAATCCAAACTAGAATTATTTAAATAGAAAAAAAATGAAAATAAATAAAAAACTAACTATACCCAACAGCATCATCAGCCCATGCTGAAGGATAGAATCGAGTAGCACCAAGTTCTTCAAAACGACGATCAAGTACACGACCACAATTACAAAATGTAGAATAATTTGTATCACCTAATCCTGAATAGAAATTTTTGTATAAGAATAAATTCAAACTTGAATTCTTAGTACCTAAGACAGTATATTTCATATGTGAGAGAAGTTTCGAGTTTTTTTCACGACGAATTTTACGCCAAAATTTACTTGCATTACCTGGTGGTTCACCATCACCTGTTGATGATGTTACAATAACCATGATTGATTCTTCTTCTAATTTGAACTGTGATAGATACAAAGAAAAATAAAAATATAAAATTTCCATATTTTAGAATAAATCTTGTAGAATATTGAATCCGCCTGATATTATTTTTCCATAAAAAACAACTTCAACTGTTGATATATTTCTATTGATTTTCTCAATAACTCTATTCTCTCACTTGTTTATCAACTTCATCCAATTCAAAAATGTCTGCACATATTTGATGTTGCTCTGATGCAATATCACCCATCCCTTGAGCAATTGCTTTTGATTGACCTGTTTCACTTCCGAATCCGAGTAAAAATCTCCACCTTTTCATCTTTAAGAACAAAAAATATATACAGACACACACGCATGTATATATATATATATATATATATATATATGTATTAAATAAAGATATATAAACAATTAATGAGATGTAAATGTGTTACAAAACAAACATTGACTAGAGAATTAAAGCAGATAAATAAATATAAAAACAAAAACAAAAACAAAAAAAAAAGAAAACCGTTAATCTTTCTTTTTTTCAATCATTGTTTTTTGACTATCATCTGTCATTATTGGCCATGTTGGTATATCACGTGCATCAATTGGTTTAACAAAATTTTCAATAAATCTTGGTTCAATTTGAACAATACGTTCTTCATATTCTTCATCATCATCTTCACCCATACTTTGTTGTCCATCATCATCTTGTTCAATAATTTGTCCATTTTTT